AACAGCCAAGTTCTACACCTGGACATACATTCCAGTTAGAATTTTATGTCAAAGAGACAGAGGGACATAACAGGGACATAAGGGTAACTTACGGTTAGTGGTGGAGGTAGCATTCGCTTTGAGAGAACAGTAAATGTATCTCTGAACCTTCCTGTTTTATAGATTAGTAGTAAGGCTGAAACACAGAAATTGCTTTTGCTTATTTGAGAGAACCAAAACCAAGTTGGTTTCTAGAGTCAAAGCTGTGAAATTTTGGGGGATTAGCTGCGGATTTAAAGACAATGTCTAGCTTCCAGCTCCTATTCTATGCGGTGCTTATTATAATGAACACAATGACTGTGATAACTGAATGTGGAAGTTAAGCTCTGCTACCAGGCAGAACTGGCTGTACTTTTCAATGAGAGAGTCTTCCCTTCCCTGGTCTAAAAGTAAAGTTGGGTATTAATAATGCACTAACATGAAATGCTGAAAAGTATGTAAGAGCTGGAAATCACAGGTGCATTATCAGCTTCAGGAAAGAAACTGTGGCAATAGTTGAAGTAGTGTTCAGAACGTGACAAGTGAAAGGAGTCTTCTGTTTCAACTTGGACCTTCCAACTTTTTAAGTTTTGGGTTTGGTTTGGGTTTTGGTTTGGGGTTTTTTTTACGTTTTTTAGAAAAGAAAGCTATCCTGGGGGAATTCTAGTACAAGATTACAAAAAATATTCTTTACTGAAGTTACTCTTAAAGAAGCTTGATAAGTTTCTGAGGTTGATGCATTTTTCTTGTAAGTTGTTACTGATGATTGTTTAAGGACTCCTATTTTACAGTAAATCTGCAGAAGGAAACTAGAAGAAAACATTTTTAATAGAGCTAATGTTCCAAATTTACCAGACCACTCTTAAAAACTCATGGTTGTTGGAACTTCATGTATATTGGATGTGCCCTGTACTTTCTAATTACTAATTAAAGCCCTGTATTCCTAAAAGTGAAGGACTGCATGAATATGTTTCTAAGAAGAAAAAAACATGTACCTTGGTTGGTAGTAGGGGTATTCTTCCCTCTGTACTTTTCCCTCCACTTGCCTAGCAAAAATGCTTCCAACAATATCACATAGCCTTTTGTGCTTGAGGAAGAAAAAAATAATTCTTTTAATAGCAAACTATTTTATGCTTAGTCACAAAAATGTTACAAATCCAAGTGCACTGGCATAACAAACATTTCTATTGCCTACAAACAGGACAGCTGCTATAGAAAGTGGATTCTCTCAATTAGCCTCTTTCTTTTTATTCCATCTTTATAATGAGTTATTACTTGCGACAACCATTTTCAGAACTACTGCTCTTGAATATCATGTTTGATGACAGCATTTACACACTAACTCATCTCTTCAAATATTTCTTCAAATATCTCTTCAAACAAGTGCGTCAGTGGCACTGCCATTTAGAGGACATGACAGCAAGAATAATGGAAACAGGGCTAGCAGTTAATCACTATTGTTAATATCCACTCTGCAGCACGTCTGCAAAAATTTGGGAAGAGGGGAGACATTTTTGAGTGCTTCTGAGAATTGGTTACTCTGTAACCTCACAAAAGTGTTTTTTTCTTTAGTATCTTTACAATGCGTGCAAAAGGGATAACAACATAGTTGTAAGAGATAACAAATGGGTAACTTCACAGTCAGTTTTTGTGATATGCTTGTAGCATTTGGGTAAGGATAACAGGTGGTCAAAGACACGGATGAAAAAATATTCAAGAATGAATAACCTAATATTTCCTTAACCAGTTTTCTATTTCTTGTCAGTGAGATCAGGTTTACTTTATAAATTGCAGTTCCTACTGATAGCCTTCTGGTGATCCATGTTCCAGTAACAACTTCCAATAAAAATATTAGCCAACCCTGCAAAAAGGCAGATTTTTGTTTCGAAGAAATGCAGTATAACTGTAGTTGCTAAATGAAAAATTAGTTCATTGGTTTCATTAGAAACTAATGAAAATGTACATTTCAAAAAGAATGTCTTGGTGGGATGCTGACTCTACAAGGTCACACTTTGCTGCAGCAAGGTTTGTTTTCAGACAAAACACTTTTAACTATTCTACTTTCCATAAAATTGAAATGCTTAGGAATCCTCATGATTTCACTGATGACTGAACTCTGAAGCTAACATGTGTGCGTAATTTCTACTGAAAAAAAATTAAGCATACATTTTTTGCCCCCAAAACAATCCTTCTTAAAATGATGAATGCAATTCTTTGGAAAAAGATGAAAATAACAGATAACCCGTTGAATTCCATCTCACATAACAGGCTCAGGTATTTCTTCCTGACCTTAATAGTATTCAGAGTTTCTCCCATTTCTCCCAAAAAAATTCAGGATTACCTCAGGCTCCCCCTGGTTGGGACAGTGCCGGTGTAAGAACCTACCTGAAACACTACACTTGCAAAAGAGACTGAGTCTTAACCTTTTTGTAAGTTCTCTAGGCTAAACACAGTACATGAGCCAAATGACTAGTATCTGGCTAACCTACGAATAATGCAAGACTAAGTCATCAAAAGTCCACAGAAAGCAGATATGGCGGCTTTGGTTCTTGAATATCACGTCGTTCTTCTAAATTTCATTGGTATGGCAGGTTTGTTTGTGAACTCCCCTGTGAGAAGTTTACAAAAACTTAAAAACAGTATGTATAGGTGTGGATTACACTTCCTAAATTGTATAATTGCAATAATTACAAGTGAGAAATTTCTGCCACGAATTGTCAATTTAATGATAAGAAAACAGTTTAAATAATTGAAGAGACATGTACCTGTGTTTAAATTTATTCTATACCTATAAACTCATTCTGGTATTCTCCCAAAGAGTTACTATTTTTGAACTGAACTGATGCCTACTTCAGGAATAATAATAAATTTTCTTGCTGCTGTAGAAATCCTATGTTTTAAAATGTCTTTAAATCTAAACCAAAGTGTGATATGAATTACAAATGTTAACTATTTCAGAATAAAATATAAGTACAATTTTTATCTCTACGTGAGAGTCAGGATGGTGACCAGTTAATTTAAGACAAATAAAACAGTACTTTATTTTACAAAAATAAAACACTATTTCTTTGCTGTCAAGAAGGCATATAGCAAAGAAACAGTTCATCTCTTTCATGGAAGAATATTAACTCTCCAGAGAAGCTGTGAATGCTGACAGAGGAGACACCGTCATCCTTACTTGCAGACTTCAGTGATGCATAAATAAAGGACCTGCAGTTGGTTGAATCTTGGATTTTTCCAAATGATTGTGGAACATTCCTTAAATCTTAGTACACTTGCATTCGCATTAGCATACTAGCAAATTAAGGCACAAACTTTGTGTACTACTTAAAAGCATACAAACTAACAAGAATGTTTCCCATTGCTCTTGAAAAATATCTTTGGGCTACTTGGAAGTACAGAACTAAGTAAATATATCCAGTATGCTTATAAGGAAGTTTAAATTTATGCCACTAAGTTCATCACGCACTATACCTTCATGGGTATGTATATGCTTCCTTAGCTCCAAGAAAAAAATCACTTAAGAAATGCAAGAAGCACTCACCATTCCTTATACTTGGATGCTGACAGTTCCACCTCAAAAGCAGGTAATGTGCTTCAGCATGATCATTCATTGTTTTATTTGGACACTAACTCCAATGTAACAGACAAACTCTTCTAGACTACACATATTTTGGTCACACATAGCCCTTAAACATTACCACTCAGTATTACTATAAATACACTTTAGAGAGCAAAAATGTTGTGGACAACAGAAAAGTCACCGTAACAGAAATAAAAATGTAATGTAGCCACTGACTTCACTACATCTCAATCGCACTGTAACGATAAAATATAGGGCTAATTAACGTTCCAGGTGCTGTGTTACTTACAGTTCCTGTTTCTTACTTGCATTAGCAGCAACTAGCATCCCTTGATCTGAAAAATTTTAGTTAATTGTTAGAAAAATTTTAAGCACCTTAACTCTGGAACTCAGACCAGTATACTGTAACTTGTTCCTATTTCCATGTAGGGCCCTAGAAAATAATTCCAGCTGCAAAGAGGACCCAGAGCCTAAGTAACAAACTGTGCCTTTCCTCCCTCCCCTATCTAGGAAGTAAAAACTTTCTGGCAGAATTTTTTTTTAATATATACAAGGTTTTTATTTCTGGTGGCATTTAAAACTTGCCTGTCCCCAGTCTTTTGAAATCTGATTGCAATGATTTAAACAAGTTAGAAGGTTAGCATTTCTACTCTGCCTTGCTCAGCCCTGTCAGAGGTTTTAAACATACTTCTTTATTTTGATTTCTTGAACAATTTCCTTATGCCTTACAGAAGTAGTATTTTCCTTTGGACACTATGCATTGAATGTACTTTTGCTTAGCATAAACTTTTGTAGGCTCCAGCTGCAGTCTGATAATTATTACCAATTTAAGGGAAAAAATCAGGATCAAAAGCAAATCTAGCAATTCACATTCTTTAACTCCTCTAAGATCAATGATATTTGTTATCTGCTGCTATCATTAGTAAACCTCTCTATGTTTTTACATATTCTTTGGAAAGCAGATTATTTGCAGTATTTCTTGAAATGTGTAGTCAAGGCTTGATATTGGGTTTTTTGTTTCTTAAATAAACATAGGTCATTGTAAAGGAGACATACTACTGAATTCTGATGGCTTTGTAGGAAGAAAAGGCGTGGCTTAAGTAAATCACATCAAAAGTCAGAAGTATTTTCTACAGTATGGTAAGAAATGCACAAGTAACTCAATTTTTTACAAAAGAAAATTCTGGATTTCACTGTTCAGTAAGCACATTTGCATCCAGAATCTAACTAATCTTCATCCTTAAAGTATCACTTAAAAATATCACTAGCAGAAAGAATTAAAAAAAAAAAAAAAGGTTTCTAGTTGAAATACTTGTCAAAACTGTCTTCAATTTTAAGGCCAACGTGTATGACAGTCTCACATAAGAGTGCTGCTGGTGTTGACATACGGGACAGGGATAGCAGAGTGACAACACAGCTTAAAGTAGAAAACCTCTGAAAAATGTCACTAGCAGTTACTTGCTGTAAAACAGATAGAAGCCACAGTCCCTTAAATCTATAGTATGTGCTTTTCTATTTACATGTAACCTAAATGACAATATTACTGTGACTGGATATATAGCATTTCGCAGTATATGTCTTTAATGCAGGTGTAGACACCATTCAAGATGGTACACATGTATATAAAAAACCAGTTAATTTCAACGTAATCCTAGAAGAATATTGCAAATAATGTTGTATAAACGCATAGTGTTTGAGGGGAAAAAATTACTTCACTGGAAAATAAAGTCCCACACACTGAGTTTGGCACTTGTTTATCACTATGTCACTTTCTTTTTGATTGAAGACAGCTCTTTCTGAATCTCACTGAATTTTGGCCGGTTTTCTGGTTTGTAGTCCCAGCACCTCTGCATTATTTTATATATTTCTTCTGGACATTTTTGCGGTGCTGACATTCGGTAGCCTGGTACCCAAAAAAAAGGGGAAAATGTTTAGCATTGAAAACTGATGCATATTGACAAATCTAAAAAGAAATAAGCAAAGTTCAAGATCATTGCATTAAAAAAGATCTTCAGGGTAATATGAGGAAAGTCATCAATCTATAACCTATCAAGATAGATAATTATTAAACTAATCAAAGCTCAGGTACCAATAACATTTAAGTTGGGCATGGTAAATTGTCAGTATACTTCTCATTCTCAGCAACCTGCATGGATTTGTTTTCTGTATCTGAGGAAGTAGCTACCCTCTAGGTTTTAATTGTGTTCCCTTTTTTTCCCCCAGTGAGGAAATCAATAATAAACATTAAGATGGGAGTAAATTTCTTTGCTCTTTTTCAAAATGGATCAACTTTTATTCTCATGCCTCTTCCCTTTTTTGTCTCCTTAAGAAGTTCCCTTCCCACTTGCACTTTATCCATTTATTTTTTCTCCCTCCTGTTTTCTTAACTTTTACATTTTCCCATCATCTTAACTCTCCTACTCTTCTGGTTTGCTTAGATAGGCAGTGGCCTTCCACACCTTTCTGCTGCCGTCAAATGAAGGAGGTTTCTGACTTGGTGATGAACAGGAGAATGAACAATCAGTTAAGTAACTTAGCAGCTAATCATTCAGAAGCCACAGATAAGTGGCCATTCCAGCATATCATCCATGCCCTGGACCAAAGAGATGTACTCACAGCAATGAAGGCAACTTCCCAATGAGTAGGAAGTTGGGCAAAAATGCCAGCAGGACAAATTCAAACACAAAAACAGCCAGTGTGGGAGGAATACAGAAACATTGTCTGAGCATCCAGGGATGAAGTTAGGAAAGCCAAAGCCCAAATGGGATTGAATCTGGCCAGGGATGTCAAAGTAAAGAAGAAGGGGTTCTTTAAGTACATAGGTGACAAAAGGAAGGCTAGGGAAAATGTGGGCCCACTGCTGAATGAGGTAAGGCACCTGGTGACACAGGACATGGAAAAGGCTGAGTTACTGAACGCCTTCTTTGCTTCAGTCTTAACTAGAAAGACTGGCCTTCAGGAATCCCAGGCCCCAGGGACCACGGAGAAAGTCTGGAGCAAGGAAGACATATGCTTGGTGGAAGAGAATCTGGTCAGGGAATACTTAAGCAAAATGGACTTAGGTAAGTCCATGGGCCCTGATGGGATGCAGCCATGAGTGCTGAGGGAGTTGGCTGATGTCACTGCAAGGCCACTCTCAATAATCTTTCATCCACCATGGTGACTGGGAGAAGTACCTAAAGTCTGGAGTAAAGCAATGTCACTCCTATCTTCAAGAAGAAGGACCCAGGGAACGGAACCCTTACCTTGATTCTTGGGAAGGTGATAGAGGAGCTAATCCTTGTAACAATTTCCAGGCACATGAAGGACAAGAAAGTGATCAGGAGTAGTCAGCATGGATTCTCTAAGAGCAAGGCAACCTGATTACCTTCTATAATGAAATAACTGGCTTGGTAGATGAGGGGACTTCAGTAAGGCTTTCAACACTGTCTCCATAAAATCCTCACGAAGACACTATTGAATTATGGGCTGGATTAGCAGACAGTGAGGTGGATTGAAAACTGGCTAAACAGCAAGTCCCAGAGGGAGGTGATCAGCATCACAAAGTCTAGTTGGAGGCCAGTAACTACTGATGTACCCCAGGGGTCAATACTGGGTTCAGTCCTCTGAACATGCTGGGGGCTGCCCAGCTGGAAAGCAGCTTGGCAGAAAGGGACCTGGGGATCCTGGTGGACACCAAGGGTTGAACATGCACCAGCAATGTGTCCTTGTGGCAAAGAAGGCTAATTGTATCCTGGGCTACATTAAAAGAAGTGTTTGCCAGCAGGTCGAGGGAGATTATCTGTCCCCTCTGTTCAGCACTAGTGAGGCCACACCTGGAGTACTGGGTCCGGTGCTGGTCTCCCCAGTACATAAGAGACTTGGACACACTGGAGAGAATCCCATGAAAGGCCACCAAGATGATGAAGGGAGTGGAGCAGTTCTCACTATGGGAAGGCTGAGAGAGCTGGGACTGTTCAGCCTGGAGAAGAGAAGGCTTAGGGGGATCTTATCAATGTATATAAATACCTGAGAGGAGGGTGCAAAGAGGACGGAGCCAGGCTCTTTTCAGTGGTGCCCAGTGACAGGGCCAGAGGCAATGGGCACAGACTGAAACACAGGAGGGTCCCTCTGGACATCCAGGAACACTTTTTCACTGTGAGGGTCACTGACACAGGTTGCCCAGAGAGGTGGTCGTGTCTCTATCCTTGGAGATACGCAAAAGCCATCTGGGAATGGTCCTGGGCGCTCGGCTCTAGATGGCTCTGCATGAGCAGGGGGGTTGGACAAGATGACATTCAGACGTCCCCGCAGACCTCAGTCATTCTGTGACTCTGTGATTCTATGAACTGCTTACCACATGTAGCTCTCTGAGCAAATGACAGGCAGTGGACAGTAAAGTGAGTTGGCACGTAGGACTCTACAGCTCAATGCAGCTCCGTGACTCCAGACTTAGTGCACAGATCTCTGCATCTCTCTTTCTAAAGCAGAGTATAAATGACACTGGCCTCATACAACAGGTAAATCTGGCAAATTTTTTTCCTTTGTTATATTGCATGCATCTGCTCTAGGAGCTGGCTTAATGCATGTAACTTCAAAGGAAAATGGCTGGGCTCTAGGACACTTACAGACAAGATAATATGAAACTATCTAAAAAGCCTTTCCTTCACAAAGTTTCCCCTAGAAACTAGTTCTTCAAAACAGTGACAGCAGCAAATACTTTTTGTCCTTAAAGTGAACTGAATCTATCTAGTTATTTAGAATTAAAATTATCCTGGTTTAAAGCAAGCATTTAAGTGACTGATTGAGTTATTGAGATAGATAAGATCAGGAAGAGAATCTGGAGTGTCTTAGCTGATTATCCTAACAGAAGAGGTATTATACACTGAAAACCAAGAAAACAGGCTGATAAAAGAAATGAAAATTCCATAAAAAAAAAAAAAAAGAGAAAGAATCGCTAATGGGCCAACAGAACTATTTTCCCCACAGTATCAATAGCTGAAAAAGCATAAACATACTTCTAAATCTTTGAATTTTATCAATTTCAAGAGATTATTATTCTCAGTGGATTAAAACAGAATCTCAGTACTTAGGCAGTAAGACTTGTTTTTACAAACACTCCTCTGCTCTGGAAAACATTGCATTTTTTGATTTGGCCTTTTAAGGAGAAAATTTGATGGTCATTTACAGTGCTTATAACAAACTCTGGCAATCTGTATAAATCAGCAAACTAGTTGTTTTTTTTTTAAAACTATTCAGCAGTTTTACTAGCTTAGAACCTGTTTATGAATTGCACAGTAGTACTGTGTAGAGGAGGAACAGTTCTGAAACGCCACTAAAGATGATGAAAATAAATCAAAGTCCTGAAATCCTGCTCACAGTTACTTGCTACTTTAAATAAAAGCCCTTTGATTATTTTGTAAAAGAGAAATGTGGCTTTCAATGCTCAACTAGCTTACCATTCTCCACCATAATTGCTAAATTTTTGCCTGAAATGTCTTAATAGAGAAGATGGAATGATACAGATTTTTTTTTCTGGCAGTTTAGAATATTTATACCTGCATTAGCATAATCTTAAATAATTCATTCTGGTCAAGCCTTTGCTTAGTACAGCAGTAAATCCCTCCTCTCCATCTCACCTTTTAGTTCTGCAACAACAAAAGTCAGCATGCTGTAAGTCTTCCGTCTTTTAAGTCACTGGTCAGTATATTCCTTTTCTCAAGAAGCCTATATATTACATTACTCCTCCCAGAAAGCTAGATTCAGCAATTAAAAAATCTCATAATATTTTTGCTAAAGTTGCTGGATATCTTGTATGTTACTCCTTTGCTATTTTATATTGTATGTACTACATCCTTATGGCTCTATACAGAATTTCTTTCACTCCCTACGAATAACTACCTTTCTCGACTTGTTCTCGTGCTTGTTGGTTGGTCATTCCAGGGTACGGACACACTCCTAAACTGAAGGTCTCCCACAAAAGGATTCCAAAGCTCCATACATCACTCTCAGATGTGTATCTCCCTAAGAAAAGGAAAGAAAACCCTCAGCTGAACATACAGAGAAGTTAACGTTTCAGATAATTATGGCCCCAAGTTTTCTGTAAAGGTAAAGTCTTACATTGGCAAGCTTTAAGCAGAACAAAGCTGCAGCTACTAATAATACATTCTGCAGATATCATAGTCTCCTGTGTTTCAAATGATAAACAAATTATCTTAAGATCAATAACTAGGAATGACAGAAGCTAGCTTAAAGTTCTTCAATTTGACAGACCTTACCATGTCAGTTTTTCATGCAAGTTAAGAATTTCTTTCCTTCTTAATGTACAAAAATATTTTTTTTCTTTTAATATAAAAGGACAGAAAAATGTCAGTTTCTCCTCCCCCCTTGTTTATAATCACTTTGAATTCAAAAGATACTTTTAAAAAAAAAAACCTTTCCCAGTTCCCTAATACAGCATGGCAATGAGTATTCTGAGAGGAGCTACCATCAACATAGTTTGTAACTGTGAAGAGGGCCTGGTTTTCACGCTTTGAGAAACTGTTCTCTGAAAATGAAAGTACAGTTGCTTCAACTTGTGTAATCTGGACCCTGAAAAACTGGTGCTCCCAATCAGTTAAAGAAAAAAAAAAAAAATTTGACCTGCTGGTTCCATTATCTTCAACTATGCTTCAGAGATAGCAAAAGAGATAATTGATAGATAATTGAATTCCAAACCTTTTGTGTAATGAAAACTTTATATTATGGGAGAAGGAGAGATTTTGGAGCAGATATTTCTATTGTCCCTGATGGATTCACATTAAGAAGGATGGATTCACATCAGAAAGTTAAAGCTCTTAGCCCTTTGCAGCAGGATCTGTGAAAATGTTACCTTAAAAATCCATTTTCAACATTACTTTCAACATTTTTCATGACTGTTTTTCTTTGTTCCATACCATTACATTGTATATATATCTTTATTCTTTAAAATATACACATGCTTGTAAATGTGTTGTTTGTTCATCTCTAATCATTAAACAAACCAAATTAAGCCACTTCTGACTAGAAAAAAGGAAAATACATGTAAATTATAGTGACAGTTGGTGATATGACAACTGTTCTGACGTCAGAAAGTTCAATTTACTGTTAAACTAAGTATCACTTCCAGCTGCACTACATTAGCTTGTGTGCCTTGTAGATGGCAATTATGGACATTCACTATGCTGTTTATAGTAAGATATTCTTGTCTATGTATCAACTCTCTTCAGAATTTGGCATCCAGTAATTTAACACTTTTCATTGAAATCATTCAGTAGATACAAGTTAGATGGTAAGTTTTTTTTAAAGAAAGTACAAGTTCTGCACAATTATCTTTTCCACTATGACATTATCTGGGAAAAAAAAGGCCTGTTCATTCACAAAAAAACCCCTCCACACAGTAATTTATTAACATGACAAACAACTCAAAATGTTGTACTGGAAAAACATACATATTAAATATGCATTTTAATTTTGAGGGAACAGGAAGCAAAAATACCCTACATTTGGTCTAAATACGTAATTTTATCAGAAGCTTTTCAATCTTTTTTTTCCACTTGCTGGAAGTGGTGGAAATCATATTGCTCCAAGCAAAAATAAAGGTATGGAATGGCACTGAACAGCACCTACTGAACCAAAGGTTCAATCACCCACAAGCTCCAGTAGCATCAGGATTTCGCTTATGACTTCAGACACAACTCCCTAACCACTCCATTTGCCCTAATCTGGTTTCTAGACTTCACAACTTGTGTTTTTTTCATTTAAAATCTTTTTGAGACTGCTTTTAATTTGTCATATATAGTGAATCCAGAAGTGACTACAAAATGAACTTTTACATAGTTTCTTAAGCACTGTATCATTCATGTAGTGGCCAAATGACCCTATGCCTCATTTTCTTCCAACTCTTAAACCTTGCCATTAAGAACCGACATGGACAGTAGTTGTCAACTAGTTTTGAAATCCTGCAGATTTAGTTCTATTTCACTCTGGTATCCTTAAATACCTTCAGCCTTACCTACACAAATTAATGCAATACTTACGACCATATTATTAGGATGGTAAATGGTAAAACACAAACCACATCTTTTACTCACATCTTTCAAGGGATTGGAAAAAACGATCCTTCAAAATGACACAGAAACCTTCTGCAATATTTTGGTAGTTGAATATTAGACTGCTCAACACATTAACAAATGTTTGAGAGAGCTTATTTTCCAAACACTACAGAAAATGACTTAAAGCTGCTTGAGTATGTATGCACTTTAGGAAACACAAAATAAGTAGATGTTAATCAATTACCCTCTCCTCTCCTGTACTATGCAGAAAAGAGACTCAAAAGTACAAAGTGAAGGTACTGTCAGAAGAGCCTGTTTCCTGCTTAAGGTAGTCCACTCGACTGCTTACACCTATGAAGGGTAGGTGTCCATTATATATCAAATAAACTGTACACATTTCTGAAATAACAAAAATAAAAATTCAAAACACTTTTTATAATGGAACAAACACCCAAAATAGAAAAGTGTGTTCCCCAGTGAATGCTAGCAACACTAACACTTCTTAGAATAATTGATAATACAGGATCAATTAAATTTACTATTAGCCTTCCAAAGAGAAGATCTGCTTTATTGTGTTATGACGTTAACTGCTGCAAAAACGCTAGTGAGACGAAGCATTTTGCTATCAATCATAAGTCACAAACTTACGATTTCGAATGCATGATTTTAAAAAAAAGCTTTAAGAGATGGCAGAAATATTTACAGACACTTTAAATGAAGAATTTAACACAGATTTTTTCTAAGTACTCAACTAAAGAACTGGTGGAGAGAACTACATCCAAAACATGGCATCGTTCATTTAATATGCTGCTTCTTCACAGCCCACTTTACTTAGAAGAGCTTATTTTTCTACTTTCATATAAGCTAAAAAGCTAAATACAGCAGCTTCTGCTTCTGTTCTGGAACAACTACCCACGTAGTATGGACCACTTCCCTCAATCAGAAATAATGGATTTTTTTTCCCCAAGATAACAGCCTAGCAATATATAAAAATGCAGGTAAAGAAAAGCTGCAGTTAAAAAAAAATATAAATTAGTGACTGTACTTTTCCCCAATGCAATGATTTATCTAAGAGAGTGTTCTAGTATGTTGACACTTCCTACTGTTTTCAAAGAGGTGCTAGAACAATCACTGCCATAAATATGCAGAACTTGCCATTCATTTTGCTAACGACTATGATTTAGATGACAGACTCGGTAGTCTACTAGAATGAGTCAGCAACATAACTGAAGCATTATTTTATTGCTGCATAATAGCAATTTTGATGTTGCTGCCTTATTCTTTTTGAAGGCAAAACATATTTCATACATAACTTAAATAAGACTGAAATATTAATATTATTTTAAACATTATTGATTTGAACGGGGCACTAGGAATTTGTATATATACTCAAATATTGCCCATGGTGTAGTCCTGGTGCTCCTTATGCTATTTCTGACTTCTTTTGGTTTTTTGCAAGAAGATACAGGTATGTCCTTACCATAGTTGAGAGCTTCTGGAGCAGTCCACTTGATAGGAATCTGCTTTAGGCCTGACGATGAGTACACACCATCATCCTCTTGCCGGGACATTCCAAAATCGCTTATTTTCAAAATGTTGCTTTCACCTACCAAGCAGTTCCTTGCAGCCAGGTCTCTAAGTTAGAACAAGAAATAAACCCCCACATTTTTACAAATTTGAAGTACTTGAAGCCATTTAAAATGGCTAAGTCCCTCAGCCATGATGGTCGCGCCTCTCGGAAAACATATTTAAAAAAGGGTAAAAAACTACACAACAGTTGTGGAAAAGAGGAGTGAGGGAGGAAAAAAAAAGTGTGAGAAATAATCCTATGAACACCAAGGTCGGTGAAGAAGTTGGGGGAGGAGGTGCTGGAGATGCTGGAGGTGCTCCAGGCGCAGAGGCAGAGATTCCCCTGCAGCCTTTGGAAGGACCCACGCTGGAGTGGTTCGTGAAAGACTATCTCCTGGGAAGGACCCACGCTGGAGCAGGGGAACAGTGTGAGGAGGAAGAAGCAGGAGAGAGGAACTCTTATGGACTGATCGCAACCCCCATTCCCCACCCTCCTGTGACCCTCGGCGGGGAGGAGGTGGAGGAGTCGGGAATGAAGGATTGAAGGTGAGCCTCGGACGAAGGGAGGGGTGGGGGAAAGGTGCTTCAGTTTTCATCTTTATTTCTCACCATCCAACTTTATTTTAATTGGCAATAAATTAAATTAATGTTCCCCAAGTTGAGTCTGTTTTGCTACGTCGGTAATTGGTGAGTGATCTCCCTGTGTTTATCTTGACCCACAAACTTTTCTGTCTTATTTTCTCCACTGTCCTCTTGAGGAGGGGGAGTGAGAGAGTGGCTGGGTGGGCATCTGGCAGCCAACCAAAGTCAACCCACCACAACTGCCCTCTGAGGTCACAGAAATAAACTCGCAGATTAACAAATCAGATTTTATGCAAAATGAAACAGAATTTGAAGAAGCACCCTGAAACATGTTCCCATAATTGTGAAAGACAGTGAGAAACCAGAGACTGGCCCCATCTTCTCTCTGCCCATCTTATCCTAGCATTAGGGTTTCCATAAAAAATAAAAAGCTACTCAGTATTAGAGGAAAAGGAATTTTGGCTCAGTGATGGATGAGAAGCTTAGAAAATCAACAGCCTTCCTTTCCCTCCCTCCATCTCAAACATGTTTTTTTAGATTAGGAGATAGCCTGTAGTAATTCCTCATAAAAGACCTACTGTGGCTTCTCTACAGCATACATTTGGAATAATAATACACGCTAATGATATATTATTAACATAGTATATGTATATTACATGTCATTGTTTCACAGTGTATTAAAATACTACATTGTAAAATATATATTATTATTCCCATCTTAATGTAATAAAATACAGGAAATTTTTGAAGGGAAAAAATGTTAAGCAACAGAATTAAATCTATAACATTAGGAATATCATGGGCAAAGTATTTTTAAACTAAATTTACAATGTTTGTTTTCAGCTTAAACAGCTAATATGCTCACAAATGGCTTGTCTTATGTGAATATTCCAGAATAACTACATTTAATGTTTTGGATTGGAGCTGTAGAATAGTTTTGAAGTTAATCCCCTGAGCACTTAATGCACATTCATTGGTTTTAAGTAATGATTTTGTTGCAGGCAAACTAGATTACTCTTGGAAGAAATTAACCTAGAAGTTGGTGTACACCAAATTTGTTTCTACAGCTAATGCAGAAAGAAGGGTCTGAACCAATGACAAACAGCTTCAAATACTATGCATGGTGGGGACATTCATGACAAACGACAGAACTATATTTAGTCTCAAGTAAAACTCTTGAGCCATATATAAGGATGTTAAAGCTCGTATATCTACAACTACTTTGATCAACTGATCCATATTGATAGTGCACTACATTATTTCCTATGTAGACAGAGCCTGTGTTTCAGTGTAAATACTATAACTTGATTTAAGAATTTTAACATATTTGACTCACACAACTTATCTGCCACTAAGAACACTTATGGCTCTTGAGCTTGATGCTACAGTCAAATAAATGCAATTATTCTTGCAGTTAGAGAAGATGGACCGCTTAAAACCAAGTCTGAAGTCACAGTCTCCAGCTGAAGATACACACAAATATATAAAACAGCTCAACATGCACTATGTTACATAGTTTGATGTTAGCATGCAGTATTGTTTGGTGAAAGTAGGAGAGCTGCAATACAAAATCAAATTGTTTTGCTTATACTCAAGTCTGTAAAACGTATCACCACGAAACTTCAAGAATTTATGTCTTAGGTTCCAATCATACTTTAGTCATTAGTTTTTTAATTGTTTTACTCAATATAGTCTAGATTTTGTGACAGATACACATAAGGGTGGAAAAAGTAATGAGGTCATACCTCAAAGAAAATTTACAGAGTTAATTAAAATCATGAACATCTTCCTACCTGAGTCTGACCTAGCATTTAAACATGTTCTGAGTCAGACTACGAAAAAGCTATACACTGAGCTGAGTTAGGTTTATTCCTCATACATAAGTCTGAGTATTAGGGAAAATATATCATAAATAGTACACAGTATGATGCTTGTAAACAAAGATGACACTTAGTTCACATAATCTTTGTCTGTTTTGTATGTGACAGTTTTTCTTTCACAGTCATCTAGAGGAACTGTTTTTCATCATTACTAAAAATTTACAAAAACGCTTCCATGAAAATCAAGCTGGTATTTGAGAAAGTTGGTAAAAATTGTGATACTATGTTCAGGATATACGTAAATTAACACTAGATCTTATGAAAGACCACAGACACACAAAGCCTTTGCTTCATGAAACAGTGGTTTTCAAGCTGTCTGTTAGCTGGCAGTGGGTCGCAGAATGATGCTATTCAAGCTGCCATGCTGCACACAAGTGCCAAGGGAGGGATTATGGGCCAGTGGTTAGCTAATGGCCCACAACTTGTGCGGGTGGACACAACTGTCAAGTCCACCATCAATCTTTCCAGGCAAATTGCTTCTTTCTTTTTGTCTCGGTTTGTATTGAATAGAGGAGCATTTTCATTGCCATCTTCCACAAAATGTCAATAAAATTTTATGAAATAGTGAGTGCCAAGCCACTAACAATAAGATAGAAAAGGATGTATTATGATAAAACTTAACTAATAAAGCTACAAATAGTAAATGTAGTAGTGCTGGTTATGAGTCTTACAGTATTAATGCCTTTTTCTGCTTCCAGCTAGAACGCTCACATTTTTTAAGCTATAATACTATGTATTACTTTTAATATATCATTTGTGTTAATAAAGCCTTTTGAGCACTTTTTTCATTTCTCATGTGTAAGGTAGGCTCTTTCTCTCACTTATTTAGAAAATACTTTAGATGTGAACTTTTCTTTCCCTTTTTCCTTCACTTTAGTCATAGCCTTTTTAAAGGACTTATGTAATCCCCCTCTCAGACACTTAGTTTTCTTTCCACAGTTCTTGTGGAAAGTACATAGAAACCAACAATATTTAGCAGATCCAGTGATATTTAAAATCATGTTAAATCCTGCCAAAAGTTCTGTTACTTCGCACTTTTAATAACTTGCCATTCAGTAGGGTGAAACAGTATAGTACAATTTCATTCTCAGTGCTCCACCATCAGCCACTTCAGATTCTGCAGTTACATCCACTGTTGATGTACTTTTTGGGTTCTCTTTACCCTGTTCTCTTACTTGTAATTTCTTCACAATGTCTATTTGATTAACACTTATTATTTAATTACTCAGGCTTATAAATGTCCTGAAAGTTAGAGTACCTTTTTAGCATTTCTGATGTCATTTTACATGTGTTTCATACCCTCAGTGATTTGTTGCTGAATTTTCCAGATTTTCTTATATGTATTTGCATGCTTAAAAGCATTTTTAAAAACATTGTTACACTGAAGGCTATAGCTACATCAAGCTTTTTTTTTTTATTATTCTGAGGATTTGGTTAAGATTTTTCAATTTTTTTCAAACAATTTCTTCACTGTTTCTCCTCATGTCTGACAGCCTCCTTTTAAAAGGATGTTCATATTTTTCAGTCTAGATACAGGAGAAAATCACCAAATATGTATTCTGGTTATTGTGATTTATTGCAGAATTTATAGCCAGAATCTGAAAAAAAGGGCATCAAAAAGTATTACTTCCATTGCTTCAAATTAGTAACTAACAGCTTTAATTTTCTTCCCGTTTCCTGGATTCTAATTCATTTCCATTTGCTACGGATAAAAGGAAAGAGCTCTAGTATAATAGTGTTAAGGGGCTTATAAAAAAACCTTTACATCTTAACCTTCCATGTGAAATACACACAACGGGGCTTTATTCAAGTATGTATGATAGATAATATGAGTGAGGGAAAACACGAAAATGTAAATATATAGTGCTGATGACCGAAAACAGCTATGAGGAGTCAATATTACAGATAACTTCAGTGTTAAATATTTGTAGTAAATCATGAAACTTTCTAGATGGCCTTTTTAAAAATAAAAAAAACAGACCAACTATGCTCTACTTGCCTTCTTTTCCCTAAAAAAACAAGTATGTTCTATTTGTGTTCTCTCCTCCTTAATGTTCCCTAAAGCCAACACCCTGAAGAAGTACAGATAAAATTGCATGGAATTAGGTGTCTCTCTCTGCCTGGGGCACTGTTTTTTCTTCTCATACAGCATTTGCTACTTGCTGCTGTAATTGCATAAAATCAGTATTTATCTTTAACATAGAAAACAAGCAAATATTCTTTAGTTCATATTGTGAAAGCTGTACAAATTGGGCACAAATTACACTGAGCTGCTGCAGAACAAGTCCATTAGTAAAAGAAAAGCAGACTCTCCCTGTTTAATACCAAGATTATGTAAGTTCCTAGTGGTATTAGAAAAAAGCGCCTTCCCCCCAACTACTAAGGAATAAAAATTAGTATGTAAATTGGAAATTTCATTTTTAAGCACTGCTGTGCAGTCCCTGTAAACATAAACATAATTGACTAGGAATCAGTAATACGGGTTGAATGTGCTGAAACTGCAAGAGATAGCTCATAAGACTTTTGCTAAAAATCCAATATCCAGTTAAAGAGGAAATAGAGGCAGTTTTTCTGTGCTGGGAGTTGTTACCACTTGGATTCAT